ACAACACGACAGACATCGCAGCCAAGCTTCGCTTCTTGCGGGCATCCATGTTGAATACTCTCAAACCGGTCTGCTGCCAGCGGTCGCAGGTGAGCGCCGAATCTGCTGTCGAGGGTAATCCAGCTGTTTTCTCCTAGGACACCGTCCGTCGTGTGGATGCGCCTGCAGGCGGACCATCCGCGGCAGTGGCGTAACTAGATAGGACGGCGCCCAGGGCAAATATATTTCCGCGCCCCTCATTATGCCCGTGATAATGTTTGTTATTATTATTATTATTATTAATAATAATAATAATATTATTATTATTATTATTATTAATAATAATAATATTATTATTAATAATAATTATTACTACAGCTCCTATTAATAATAATATTATTATTATTAATAATAATAATATTATTATTAATAATAATTATTACTACAGCCCCCCCCCCCATTAAAAGCGCTAATGTAGGCTTCCGCGATTGCCTACTGGCGCGCGGCGGGCCATTTCGGAGGCCAAGGGCCACCAGTTCTGATTTCGATGAGCTACGCCCGCGTTTTTGTATAGTATTTTTCTTTTTTTATTCAAACTTCCGGAAGTCCCTTACCCGTCATTGTTCTCTTCCAGTCCACACTGCAAAAATCTTGACGGCACGGGCGCTTCCCAGGCCCAAGTTTCTCGTACCTAAGCTTTCGCGCTATTTGTGCATCCCAAGGAATGCAGGGTGAGTACAAAACAAAGCAACCAGCTAGACACCGCGCCCTCGGGTCTGGTATGGGGGTTAAACTGGTCGGAGTGTTCTGCCGTTTCGCTCCGTTCGCTGTTCCATTGATGGAGGTCATCCTTGTGCGGCCGCATTCTTTCAGGGAAGTTCTTGGTTTCTCCAACGTACGAAGCGGGGCAGTCGGCACATGCTGTCGGGTACACTACGCTCTGCGCTTTTTTCGCAGGTGCGTGTTCTTTGGGCCAAAGGATGAACCTGCCCATGGCGGTGGATGGCATGTGGGAAACGTTGACCCCCGCCCTTCTATTGCTTTGCTGGCGCCCGCGATGCAGGGAATCAACAAACGTCGCCGTCGTGTCACGCTTTCTCCGTCTTTCCTCCAGAGAACTCTGCGAATAAACGCCTTTGTTTAGCCTTTGGTGCCGAGGTCACGGATTATATTCGCCCTTCCTTCCGCCGCTGCGTGGACGATTAGTCGTTGGACGATCGGCTATTTCGTTGGAGTTTTCTGTTCTTACTCAAAAAAGGTGCATTCGAACTTTTTTATTTTATTTTGTTTACGTACGTGGTTGGTTTCAGGGAAGCTTTCAGTAAGTGGTTTGGGAGGCTGGTGGGGTTCGCTGAAACTCATCTAACCCAGTGCTGCGGAGCACAAAACAAAGCTTAGCCGAGGGTCATGGGAAGGCACGGAGGTAGCGCAGCAAAATGAAAATAGAGGATCCTTTTCCCGATGCAAAAGCCATTGCGGCAACCCTTTCCTTCACCACCATCCCCACTTCCAGTCGTACATTACAACCTCGCCCCTCCCCCCTTCCAGGCGGTTTTACGGAAAAAAACATTGACAACCTTTCCAGGGGGCGCCAACCCGAGGACTCGGCTTGGCGCCCCCTCCCTAGTGGCGCCCGGGGCACTTGTACCCCCTTGCCCCCCCCTAGTTACGCCACTGATCCGCGGATTACCCGTCCGCGTCCACGAGAAATCCGGATTCGGTCCGTCGTCTGAATGCACCATTAGCAGAGGCAATCGGGCCCTGGCAAGCAACTCTTACAAGCTAAGCGGGATTTCCGAATTCGGTTCCTGATGTGAGTACTATAGTTGAACATGTATAGTGCCAATATGAAATAAAATGCATTGACGTGTGTGTTTGTCAACGATAACAGCTTTGCGTTCTAGTTTTGTCACAGCACGAAACATGTCGTGATGTATGCATGTCTATGCGTTCAGATAACGGTAATGGATAATTAAGTGACGAAATACGCATTTCAAACAAATGTGCATCAACTATGAGATGCAATTGACCGGGTCCGTTTCCGTGAGTTACTCTATGATAAGGAAAATTAACCTTAATAATACCAATAATATTTGTTGGAGTTTAACGTTCCAAAACCACCATGTCATTTTGAGAGAAGCCGTAGTTGGAGGCTCCGGAAATTTCGACCACCTGGGGTTATTTAACGTGTACCTAATCTAAGCACACGTACCTCAAGCGTTTTCACCTCTATCGAAAATGCGGCCGCCGCGGCCAGGATTCGATCCCGCGACCTGGTGGTCAGCAGTCCTGCCTCATGACCGCTAGATCACCGTGGCGGGTAAGGAGAAGGAACCTTCGCTGATACCCAACCCCTGTCATCAATTCAGGTTGGCCTCATAGGAAGACCAATCTCGCTCTTTCATCCGAAGCACTTTCTATGTAGGATGTCCACGAAGGCCAACGCGCATTTGGACGGTTGCGCTCATGAAAATAAAATGTAAAATGACAGACAGGTTTTGTTGTCTTATCCTGTACCCCTTTCACATATAATGCGAGTTCTCAATTGAGCTGCTACACGCAGTCATTCAGCCCACCATGAATTCCATCAAAGTGAAAAGCTGGGCTAGTCGTCCACAGCGCAGTTTGTTTTCACGAAAAATTAAATGTACACTCGTTTTCCGTTATGCGCTTAGCAGGCTCATTCGCCCTATCTTGAAACTTGACCATGCATTGAATTCTCTGCGTACGAAAAGATAAGATAACTGGTCCATCAAATCAAATGTGTTAATGCTCATGGAATTCTTTGGCTCAATAAATTCTCTCAATAAATCTTTCTGAAACTTCGTATGATCATGCAGCCTATGGCACCCACAGACGTCAATAGATTTCGATTTTATTGATTAGAACCTACGTGGGACCCGGGGTAGACGTCTTCAATATTTATAACGTGACGGTGTCTGGTGCAGGAATCTGAAGATGTCGTCGCCATCCGCCTATGCTGCTTTTCGCGTGTTTTTCACTTACCAAGCGTTCATGCCGCGGTAACAGTATATACATATAGTATTTTCGGGACTGGGCAATTGTACTTTACTAATACGCGGAAAATTTCTTTTCTTTTTAGTGTCCTTTTAACATTGTAGTGGAAAGTGTCCTGATGGCTAACGCAGGACAGTTGCATCAGAGTAGTACATCGGTCAGCTTTATTACAGCTACCGCAACTGTTTCACCACACTGGCAAACGCGACACCTAATTTTGTGGTGTATATACGCGAACCCATATATATATATATATATATATATATATATATATTATATATATATATATATATATATGATGGTTGATATCTTACAGATATACGGATATCAGCTATTGCGACAACTTATAATTTCTTTTGTTCTAAAATTTACACTCCCTTTGCATAGTTTTTATTACCGCAGATGTCCAGAGATTCACGCCTATAGTTTATGCCAGTATTGGTATTGATAACTGCGAATAATAGTTAAATTGATGATTGCGTCACTGTTTTCGTTGTACGGAGTGGTATTCGGTTTATCCAACCAGCAGTGAAAATAGCGATCACATTTTGCATTCCGAGGCGACGAAAGTCGATGCAGCGTCACAACCCCGTAGAACTATATACGTTTTCCTGCCCTGCATGCACCGCGTACAGAGATGAAAGTCGTCGTGGCCGGTGGTGAAAGCCGATAAGCTGTCGCGTTTAGAAAAGCTTTTTGTTTGTTTATTGACAGACTAAAGTGACATGTAACGAAAAACGAAGTAGTTACCTTTTGTACAGAACGTCGACATTGTTGAAATAACTCTTTGGAATCTGTACGTACAATAATCAGTTTAGTAGTTCCTTGGCGCTATATATACGTATTTGTAGCACATGCTCGGCACCAATGAAACGCAATCAGCCACATGAACCAATCTCATTCGGTTACAGCACTCGTCTGCTGACCCGAAGGTTGCGGGTTCGATCCCAGCCACAGCAGACCCATTGCGATGGTGGCGAAATGCTATAGAGGCCTGGGCAATGCCAGTTCACATTTGACACCATCAGATGGTCGGAAGTTCGGGAGCCTTGCCCCATAACGGGAGTGTGGGAGGTAAAGCGCAAGATGATATTAAAACTCGTTGTTGAAAGAATAGCTGTTTACCGTATACAGTTTATGTAACTTAAATTAACGTTTTCTAATTACCAAGCATAGTGGACCGATGATTGAGGCTCTGTTTTCTGGTCAAACCTCAATCAGCAGTCATTTATTTTGACCGATACATGAAAAACAGCAGTGCTGTATGGCGCCCCATGCGTCCGAAAGGAGTCCGTCTATACAGTGTTAATTGTATTCGTTTGAGCTCAGCCGGCCTCGAAACATGTGTGCTCTGCACGCGTTTTGAGGGCATTTTACGCATGTTAACATGAAATGGCACTAGGAAAATATCATATAAAATAACATAACACCAAGAAATAACGATACTGTGAAGCTGCTTTGTATTGTGTGCTTTCACGTGTCACTATGTAGTTGACCATGAATTGCGTTATTATTGTGATCTAGAAGTGTGAGTATCTGTATTCAGTGTTGAAATTTTGTATTCTCCCCCCCCCCCCCCCCCCTAATGCCCTTCGGCGCTGTGGGTACTATGATAAATAAATAAATGGTCATCCCAAGTAACAAACGCCAGTGGTGCATTTGTCTGTAATACATGCTATCAGTATACGTGTAAATCCTAAGGCCGCGTATTTTCTATATCACACTGACGAAATTCAAGGGAGGCCACGGCGCCTGCCATAGCCAAGTTACAGTTTTTACGATGACGTTCCAGACAGCCAGCCGTTTAAGAGCCTGTTTCGTAGGTACCAATGCTACTGAACTAGCATCGGTAAATCGGTAGGATAAGCGTCGAGAGCAGCGGGTTGTTTCGGTTTCATCGTGCGCATGGAGCAGAGCGGCAGCCGACTGGCCATTCGAAAAGCAGCACTCGTCACATCGTTAACCGCGGATTCCAATGAACCAAAAGGGGGGCGTTGACTCACTGGGCAGTGTGTGGTGTGGCGCCAGACCGAACCAGGAGGGCCCACAGGGCTGCGTGCCGCCGGGCCAGCCAAAGTGACCGCCGGTGGCCGGCGTGTGCAGGAACGAGAAGCCCGGGTCGCGCGGCGGCACGTGCAGGATGCTGGCGGCGAAGGCCGGTGCCGTAAACCTGAGCTGTCCGCTCGGCCGGGTGTCGGCCAGCAGAGAGGCGACCGAGAAGGGCGAAGGCTTGGTTGGTGTGGCCGCCCGGGTCTCGGGCGACGCGGGTTCGGGGGGCCCTCCCGGCGAAGACATGTCACCGGCGGCGGTGTCGTCGCTCCTCCATGCCGGCTACTTCTTGGTCTGCTACACAACTTGGCGCGAGCCGGCCGCTGCCCGACTGGCGACTCCCCCCGCCTCGGGGCTGTCTCCCCAGCGGGGCGCCCCGCCGCGCTCATTGGCTCGGCGCGTCCCTGCTCGCGAGGGGGACCGCCGAAAGCGTGCCGGCCCGCTTCCACGCCTTCGTCGCGTTCTCCCGCACCGCCCGCCGCCACATCTTACCACGGCTGTCACGCGCCTCCTTGGCTGTGGACACAGTCTGCTGACGCCTGCCTTCACTGCGAGCGGCGCGTCTGCGCTGACTGCACAAGCACGTCACATGGCCTCCACACGTTTCATTGAAATATTTGCGTGCAACGTCGCAGTACAGTGTAAGTTCTCGAATAGGAAACGTTCCAGTTGTTGGTCGCAACAAGACATATAACTCAAGTACCACCATGCTATGTGGCATTCAAGCGTAGCACCCTTATCTTCCTGTATAATAGCTCGCTATGGCATTGTTCTCCTGTCCAAACCTGCGTGACTGAAGATGCAAATGCGTGTTTGACCCCCATAACATTTCTTAGTGTTCAGATTCGTAAAATTCAACAAATTGTCAAATAAAGCAGATATTTTCATATTCCAATTGCTCTCACTTCACCTCACGCCGCCGACATGTCAAGTAGATGTTTACATTCAGCAAACTAGGCAGGTGTTCCCAGAGTTCGCTATTATTCAGTCATATGTAACATCATTCGTTCATACGACACTTCTAAAAATGGTGTGATACTTTTTTAGGGGCGAAGGTCCTTATGGTCTAGGCTTGTCCGTTGGCGCTGGCGTTTTGTGGCGTAGCCACCGCTGACGATGATGCTGATGGCGATGTAGAACACACGCGATCCAGACCACACATTCTCTTTCTGCCATCACGGTAGAGCATTTGCAAGGTACCCACTATATGCCATGACGATGATGCTGATGACAATGATGATGGTGGACAATGACTGGCTTTCAGCCAACGATGCATTTCGTATGGCTGGAAGCAACCAACAACCACCAGGGGCACGTGTCCGGAACTCGTCTTTGTCAACTTCAGGCTGGATCCGATACCACAAAGCAGTACCCTAATAATGAATGTAAAAGGAAATTCACAACTCGACACAATATATTATAGTTTTGTTATTCAGTTATCAAGTACGTAAAAAGAAAGGCATGTCCACGAAGTGAATGATGATGAGTGGGCGAAGCAGTGAGAAAGTTCGGTGTTACCGTAAATCACCCATGAATAACCACACATAAAAGTACACGAGTGCCAAGCGGTGTACAGTCACATGTGCCTTTCTTTTTGCGTACTTCATAACTGGATAAGAAAACTATATTGCGTGAACAGATTTTCGTTTCGTTTATCATCACCATCCATCTCCTGTGTTTTCTCTCTTTTTCCCACTCTTTATCTTTCTCTCTATTTAGTTCACAACTGATGGTGGCTGACATACATCAATCATGTTCGCAATACATGAAACAACAGTCTTCAGATCAGCAGGTCTCGCGGTTATGTCGTATGTGGCTCGCCGACGCCAGTGTGACTAATTAGTCGGCCTGGAATCAAATAAATGACTAGAACCTTTTCATTTGGAAAATGAAAGTTATCAGAGACGACCACGCAGCAGTACACGGTGTAGTGTTTTTTATAATCACCGACGATCCCTATATATGCATAAGTTTCGATTAACTCTAGTATATGAAACGCGTATATGACTAAGTCAATTTCTCCCCGCAAAGATAGTGCCGATTCTGGTGGCTTCTTAAAGAGAGTTTAGTTACTGTCGTGCAATGATTCTGTGAGGTCAACGAAACGTGTGGGCCACTTGTTACGGTAAGTGATTTTGCTGTTGCAACATCAACTGCTATACTATGCATCGAGACAATTAACTGTTTTCTGCCACTTCCATGGCTTGGAGTATCATTCACGAACACTTTTGCTAACCAAGTCGATTTGGCAGCTATTACTACTTGTGATCACTATGGCAGCGAGGAACCATTGCCTACGTCCTTTTTCATTGTCTTCACAGCACCCAGAGAAAACAATTCTCTACAACATTATCTCGCTTCGTTAGATCAATTGTTTTTTTTCGTTCACCGTGCTTCTTTTTTTACGCCTTTAATTTCATAAACATAGATTTACGCTCTAGACATTCCCCATAGTTCGCAATCTAACGTTAATAATTTGTTGGTTGGGTGACCTGACAAATGTACATTTATATACATATTGTAGCGAACAATATGTACGAGATGACGACGAAGCAGCCAAGAAAGAAAGCCACAGCGTTAGTGGTAGCCACGCGGTCCGAGCTTCTCCTTACCTGGATTTTGGTCCCTTGACGTGCTCCATGCATCATTCACTTACGTTCGTACGTGAATAAATCAAGTGGCATAATATACGACTGCATCACCCTGCATAACTGCCATCGCAAGTCACAAGCGTTGTGATCATGCAGTCTCGCATTAAAGAATAGGTGACGCAGCCACAGCATGCTAGACGCGTCCCGCAGGACCTCAATGAACTTATTTCAATCAATCAATCAATTCATCAATCAAACAACCCCTCAACCAACCATTCAATTAATCAATCCTGAAAACAGTTCATGACTGCGCTCACGTTCTGATAAAGTGCAAATATGTTAGCCTAATCAAGAAACGCAAAGACATTCATGCTCCTGTATGAAAATCCATGCCTATAAAGTGCGCCCCCCCCCAACTCAGACAGATATATACATGCATGTGTGATGGCTACATTGTATACCAACATCCTAAGCTTTAGAATTTATAACACCACACCCGAATGTACACGATCCATTTATTTCGCGAGACATCATTTACAACATTGTTCACTTCTTCGCTCTCCTATATGTGATAACTTATAAGATTTATTATCTATGTAGTGCCCGAAAATGAGTAGTTTTCAATGTTTCACTAGCGGTATCAACATCACTTTTTGGCAGAAGCAGCAGCAGCAAAAACAACAACAAAAAGAAAGAGCAATCAGACACGTACTGAGTGTATAACTTACGAGTCACTGGAAGAACCCACAAAGGCAAACCATGTGAAGCACGAAATTTTATTTCAGGGCATACCGCTGAATCTGCCGTGACAGTGGCGTATAGAACCTTGAAATCAGTGTAGAAGTGCACATACTCACTTTAACTGGTTTACGTATACGCTGGCCAAGAATGTCTATTTATCCACCCAAATAATACGCAAGGTAAAAGAGGCGTCGTTAAGCTTAACTGTGTATAGCGCCGCCTGAAGCCTTGCATTCATGATCTCACGAACGTGATTTTGTAAAGGATGAACGTTCAACTTCCTGGCCCGTTGACGCTGCGTAAGTCAGGTGAATAGATGAACTGGGAGGAGCGAACTCGGAAAAAAAAAAAGATACTTATATGCATATCTTCCATACACGAAAGGCGGAAGTAATATTGTTCACGTGCATTGCTGCTAAGGTGTATACGTATCAAAGCACAAGACCACCTCCAGGCCTCATTAAAAATGTTTGCTTATACACTAGAGTTGCGCAGCGCTGTCTTGAGAGCGTTGTACCAAGTATTTTCAATCAGTTTCTAATCGGAACAGTGAGCATAAATTGAATTCTACTGTTACCATTCCGCCAAGCGGAGAGGACACAGAGACACCCTTCCGGGCCACCCGCTTGCGTTTGCGTTCGCAAGCAGCGTTCCTTACCCGCGTATATTGAACGAGTGCCGAGTTCCCCGGCCGGGAACCACTTGAGGTATACACGAGATGATCCCCGTCGATACTGATATCAGAATTTTCCTCTTCCTATTTGTCTTTTCGGCGCCTTCCCAGTATAACACCGGGTGCCCCGCATTGTAGTATCAAAGGAAGGCACTTGCCATCATCGGCGACGCTGGAAGAGCGCGTTTCGCGCACTTGCGTGTGACCTTGACTCGCTCAAAACTCGGCTTCCTTGCGAGGAAGGGCGCGCAGCCTTCGGCCGCCGTGATCGATTGTAGCCGTAATGGACTGGCACTGAGCCGTGCTGCCGCAGAACCTGCGGAAGATATATTTTGCTCCTATTTATAGAAACCACATCGCGTAATGAACCAACACGCATGTTTGCTCTAATATTATCCTTCTCCAACTCCTCTCTCCCTCTTTTTCTTCATTCCTTAATTTCCTTTTTCCGGAGTATATAGGGTACCAAACTTGACCTGCGTCTGGTTTACGTTTTTTCTCGCGTTCTCTCTCTTCGTCTTCTGCGTGTGCGTTATCGTATCCGTCTGTCCAAAGCTTCTGCGTTAAACATTCTAACAAAAAAATATTTCGCATCACCATTGGAGGCGAAAGAGACAGACAAGAAAGGTTACCATTAGACAGGAAAAACTAAAATCAGAAAACAGAGAGAATAAATTATAGAGAAACGCAAGCCGGTCAACCCGGGCCATCTGCACATAGCAATTGAGTATTCTATACCAAGGAGGCACACGTTGGTGCATGAAACTCATTTGTAAAAAGACCCTGTAAAGACGTCATGTTGGGCAAGAAATCGCGTTATTCTATGTAATAAACATGACAGAAGAGTAAATTACGAATCAGTCATAACACAATGCTAACTGCGCAAGGAGTGTGTGGTTTAATGCTTCCCACCCATTGCAAGGAGCTCAGCCATAATTCCTCATTGGCATCAGCCACATGCAGTACAAATAATGTGCACGTAATACGTTACAGATTTGAAGAGGGTAAATAATGGCGCAGTGAGTGCTGCATGTCGTACGTCACAAAAATCTTGACTTATGGCGTAGTCGACACCATGCGGAAAACAAAAATTCCAGACACGTTTAGCCTTGCCCCAACATGAAGCTGTGTTCAGATTTCGCTTTAGACAGTAGCTATCATGATCACCGGGGAATTTTTTTTTTAATTCTTTTCCCATACTGATGATGCACACCCACTTTGGAAAGTAAGCGAAGATTTGG